GGTGGGCAACTGCATGTCCTCCTTACCCATAGGAAGCTCACCAGGACCAATCGGTTGCCGTCTAGACGGGGCAATGCGAATCAATCTCTCCCATGCCCAAATCTGCAATAGTTTGAATACAATTACAATACTGATATATGGCTATAACTATGAATTGACATGTAATAAAATTGTTACTAACCTGTAGCAACACAAGTGGTCCTCCAATCTCCCTCGTACCCACCTGAGCTGCTCGACATAGCATCCTATACAGCCATGCCAGAGCCGCGCTACCCCAGCTGTACTGTCCAATCTCCTCAATGTCTCTCAGCAATGGCAAGTACATCAGCTTGACCAGGTTCTATGACTTATCAGGGAGAAGTACCCCCCCAATAAGCCACAGAATATATGCTCGGGTATGCTGCTGTACCAACTCATCTGGAGCATGATCTGGAAGATGAGCAAAGTGCTCGGCCAGCCACCTCACCCTCACTCTACCTGGCTGTAAATCTGCTGGTGTAGGTGCTACTCCCAATAGCTCAGCACATAGGGCTATCCACTGCTCCGTTGCGAAAGATAGGTCAACTCCAGTAACTGCTCGGCCATCAATCTGAAGACCATATAGGACGGATACGTCCTGCAATGTGACGGTGGCCTCCCCGATCGGAAAATGGAATGTATGAGTCTCTGTGCGCCACCTCTCAACGAGAGCAGTGATGAGTGCGTGGTCCAGTCGAATGTGCCCGATACGATACACACCATAGAATCCCGCGCGTAATAGATACTGCAAGACTCTATGGTCCAACGGATGCTCCCACAATCCAGAATCTACCCGACGACATGTCAACACGGTGCATGCCTCATCCTGCACAACAGAATTACTAGTTCAAATAATAACATTATCCCGAAATATACAACAAAATGCAATGTATTTTAATTGTAGCCGTAAAGTGCAACAAACGTTATTGCATACCGGACGATCCCACATACTGTCAGCCCGATGTGCCTGTCTGAACAGTGAAACCTCCTCAGGTACATGTGCCATGAAGCCTGTACAACTGAAATTATTGATCCATATCAAAAGCTCATTTAATCATAACATAATAACAGAGAAAACTGTAATTATTGATTTTGTACTGAACGATGTAAAATACAATGAAGTAAATGTTATGGGTTCGAGAAAAAGACAAATTTATGTGCCACTTACACGGAAGCAATTCGAAATTAATGATTACATTTATGGCATATTTGACAAAACTGAAATATTTATTTTGTAATGCTAAAAGTTTGAATAAATTATAAATTTTGCAAAATACATATAAAATTTTGTAATTGTGAACAAAGACCGCAGCATTCCAATTTTTAAAATTTTAATTTATAATAGGTTAATTTTTTTAAAATTTGTAACTTTTTTAAATTATAAAATGTGAACAATGATTGCAGCATTCGATATTTAATTTATTCAAAAATATGAAACTTTGAAATGGTAGAAGAACTACGTGATTACTTTTTTAAATTATAAATACACATTTTAAATATTTTACTTTAAAATTAAAATTACAAAAAGTCACATCATTATTAGCATGCTAGTCTTGCCCCAACTCAAATAGCAGTGTCAAGTATGCAAAGTCAAAACTTAGAATGTGCACAGCAAATGCATTAAATGAGTAAAATTTATTTAAAATATGACACATCTCACATTCAAGATGAGTTTCACCTACATACATTTTTTTGGGCGTTTTGTATTCAAATTATGCTCACAGTATTATTGCAACTCAAACCATGAATACATAAGTGTTTCTATTTTGTTGGACCTTCATATGAATAATTTTTATTTATTTATTATGGATCATTGAACGATATTGTTATTTTTCTTGAGCATTTAGACAAGGTTTTTAAATATGGAGGGCGTTTAAATAAAGTTAGTACACCGAAATTGAAGCATAGAACCTTCTACTAGACTCACGAAAGGCATATATACATACAGCAAATGGAAAACCCAAGTTATAATTGAGATATTGTGCCAATTGAATCATCTTGATCTTCCCAATTTATGAAACAGCTCTCACTAAATCACTCTGATCAACTAGATATCGAAGCTTGCCAAATCGACTCTATAAGCGAGCAACAAACAAGTTTCATAAGTCACAAACTTTATTGAACATGTAGCATATATGAATGCACACAGATAATAACTATAAAACCAAACAGGACATAAATTCTTGAAGTTAGCAAGACAAAAAAATTTAAAGAATGATTTCATTTTCTGAAATTATCACAGTGCTAAATCCCAAACTTATAACTTTTTTTTATCAAATTGATCACAAATTATCTCAATACATAGAATTTGAATTATGATAAGTCAAACCCATAAAAAATTAAAGCATATAATGTAGATAAACTTATGCACCTGAAAATATAATCAAATTTCTCATCATTTATCCAAAACAAAAGCAAGCTTATACCCAATTATCTACAATATGAAAATAGTGAATTGGGATATAAAAGAGAAGAGAAGGACCTTAGACACAGTTTTGGCAATGAACTTTTTATCTTGAATATTAGGGGGTGGAACAGCCATACAATCTCTTGGTGTTTCAAACAAAGAAAAAGAGAATTGCTTATGAACAACACCAACATCAAAGTAAATCAACCCAGAGTTGGGCACATCGACCCGAATTTCCTTAACAACTAGAGAAATTTGAACAAACTAGAAACCAGAGAAAAATTTGAACAATCAAAGAAATTTGAACAAACGAGAAACCTACCAGAGAAATTTGAACGACCCAAAGACCTACTAGAAATTTGAACACACACACACACATATATATATATCTGTGTAGGGCTAATGAAGACCTTGAATTCTCTCAAAAAGATATAGAACTGAATGAAGAAAGAGAAACCACTCTTGGAACAGTGAGGCGAAGTTTGAAAGTATGACAAAACTCCAAAATTTCTAATCTAACTTCATAAGTTTCATGCTAACTAGAACGCATTACTTGCCCTACAAACCCAGAGGGAGGTGAAAACCCCACAGCTTTGTCATTGCAAACCGCTTCGCATTTCATACTTACTTCTCGTCATCTTTTTAACATTTCATAGTTTTCATCATATTTTTTAACACTTCTTCTATTTTGCCCAATTATTCCAACGAGGACTCAACTTCCATTTCATACTTACTTCTCATCATCTTTTCCTAAAATCACAAGTCAAAGGTGAAAAACATTTGGGGTAGCATTGGATAACGTGAAACATAACATCACATATGGATAAAAAAATAAACGGTCTTTTTTTTTTTTTTTTGATAAAATAATAATAATAATAAGATAGTAATGGCGAAAGCATGTGACTCGGTGGGTTGGAAAGTAAAGAGTGGAGGGTGTGGAGTCTGACAAAAATAAAGAGTGGGAATCATGAGATGGGTTTTATGTGTAAAGAAAAGAAAAGTGGTGTTGGGTCAGAGTGATGGGTGAGACATGGGAGTGAACAAAGAGAATAAAAAATTATAGGGTGAGGAACAGGAGGATATGGGAGAAAGACCAGAAAAAGGAAAAAAAATTAAAATAAAAGAAAAAGTAGATCTCCAAAGCGTGAAACCCGCTGGTCCTCTAACTAAAATCTCCAAAGAAGGTGATGGATCTACAACTGCCATTACAGGCTGGCAGAGGGTTCTCAGAAGTGGGTTCCTTGTTTGTCTTCCACTACGCTGTCCAGTTTAATTGTCTTGAGGATGGAAATCAAACTATATGCCTGCTACTCAGAACTGGGTGTAGCGAAGCAGCTACAAAAAGATCGTACCAAGAGTTGCAAACGAAAAATATACTTTCTCAGAGTTGAATAAGTCCCTCTGGAACTGGAGCTGCCATGGGGATGCCGGAGCTGGAGAACTTGGCCTCCGGCGAACAAGTTGTGCAGCTGCCACTGGGAGGGGTTGTCGCTTGCTGGTTGTCGATGAGGAGCCACGTTCACGGTCTCTCTTGAGTATGGACTGTGCTTTCGGCTTCGCATTTGCAGAGCTCTCTCTCTCGCCTTCTCTCTCTCTCCCTCGCGATCGCGATCGCTTCTGTCTCCCCCTCTCTCGCTGATCGCGATCGCTTGTCTCCCTCTTTGTCTCTTCTGTCTCCCGTCTTTATCCTTGATTCATATAGGAGTATAATGTATGTAACTATTATTATAATAACTATTATTATTATATATTATATAATAGTTGTAAAAAATTTATGTATTATTGATTGATTGATGTTGTTATATTACGATTCATTTGGAGACTGATGAACACAGATAGATTTCCGTTGTATAGTTTAGAATGTTAACATACAATATCCATCATAGTGCATTTGTAGCTGTCAACCCACTACCACACACTTTCACTTTTATATTTGTTTATATTTTATGTATATTTTATGTTAGTGCTTTAGGCTTTAGATTAGTGCATTTACTTTCAGTTAGTGGATACACTTTTGGCATGATGATGTTTGTAATGTTTTCTCCTATATAGCGGAGAGTGTACCTCTTTAATCAATACATAATTCATTCTCTCTATTTCTCTATACATCAACTTTAACATGGTATCAGAGTAAGGTTAAGAACTTAGTATTTTTCGCTTCACCGGCGAGCGGCAACCTCGCCTTGGCCGCCCGCCAGACCTCAACCTAGTCCGCTAGAATTTTCTACACATACCTTCACTCTTCTTTACCACCTTCACGCCCAACTCCTTCGAGTCGCTGTCCTTGACTCACCCAGTCAACCCATCACCACCAATTGTCTCGTCGGCGAGCTTCCACGCCTCCACCGTGCTCCCGTCGCGATCGGCGTTTCATCCTCTGGTCTATGGTGGCGATCGGCGTTTCACCCTTGCCGTGCTGCTACCAACACACATCATTACTTTGCGGGAGGAGGGTCTCTTCTCTCTCATGGTGATGAACACCACCGAAGCTCCCTCTCATGGGCTCTCTCTCTCGGTTAAAGATGGATAAAACCAAAAAAAAAAAAAAAAAAAAAAGGGACACGTTGGGTAGAGTGTCGGACACGTGTCCACAGCGTGTCCGACACGTGTCCGACACCCAAACATTGCCTTAGGAGACGTGTCCGTGCTACATAGATCATTATTATAAAATGTTATAGAGTTCTGACTGTTGGTTTTGGTCTTCCACTACAAGAAAAACAGAGTATAGTGTCTTTTTTTTTACGGCGTTTTTCAAAAATGTTGGGAAATCTGCCCCGATTTTTCAAATTCCAAAAAAGGTAAACTAAACCATCTTGTTTTGTGTGCCGGTTATAAGAAAACAGTGAGTTAACACTGTGCCGTTGAAATAAGATTATTAAATTATTTGTTATTTCTTTTAATTGTAGTTGTACTTGTAGGGAATTCAAATAAATTAAAAACAAAAAATTTTCTACTCTGATCAACAGATGCGCGACTTTAGGAAGAGAGAGAAATCGAGTCTTGGATCTTTGAGGCATCAGACCTTTGATCTCCATCAGTTCTTCGGTTGTTTGATTTGAAAAATCTTGTTCTGCTCTTGATTTGAACGTATATCTTCCAGATTGTTCGAATCCCTATGATCTAAATCAATCTAGGGCTCAAGGTTAGCGTTTTCAGGAGTGTATATCTTACAGATTGTTCGAATCCATATGATCTAAATCGGTCTAGGGCTCAAGGTTAGGGTTTTCTAATATGGATTTGCTACATTCACACTAGATCTATAAAATTCCATGGCTAAAACTAACGATTTGGAATTGTTTCTCTCGATTTAGTTGATTTCCAGCTTTTTTTGTTTTTGTTTTTGTCTTGTGTTTCTCTTTTCGTTTTTGCTCCTTTACTCTTTCTAGTCCTTGTATGGAAAACTCTTCTCTTTCATCAGATTGAGCAGCAGCAATGGCGAATCGATTTATCTAGGGTTTCGAGTGCGGTGTTAGTGTCTCTGATCATGTACGGGAAAAGCAATTGGCATTGGATGTGGATCATTGGAAACAGTGACTAGGAGCTCAACGATGAAGAGATATAGATCATAGTTATTCTTGTGGTTGATTTTCACTGAACTTCGTTCTGATTTCTAACAAGTAATCCTTGCTCAAAATCATGATTCCCTTCAGCTTCGTTTTGCGGGTGATCTTCTAATGGAGTTGGGTGCTGGGGTAGAGTTGGCAACTACAGCTGTGCCACACCTTTTTCTGCCTTTAGCTTGTGCTACCAATTTGGCCAAGGTTCAACCCTTCTCTGTCTCTCATTTTCTTCCCATTTTATAAATTCCGGCTAATCTATGTGATGAATTAGCTTTATTGCTTTACTTTCATATTGTTTCACTTGCAGAATGTTGGTGCTGTCACATCAACCTCGACTCGCACTCCAATATACAAAGCCTTTCCCAAAGGTGAAAACATTGGGGATGCTGCTGCGAAGGGAGAATGTGTTGGCAATGTTGCCGATCTGGTTTGCTTCTCCAACTTCCATTACAATTTCCAGAAGCTTGTGTTTGCACCGGGCCAATTGAGAACATATTTTGATGGCTGCTATAGTGACTGTTGCCACATAGTTAAATTGATCTTTATATTTTGTACTTTGTTTCCAGTCCTAATATTATTTGGAGAACAGAGGCATTACTGAAGGAGATGGGTTTCATTACTCTGTATAGTTAATCGAGTGCATCAAAAATAGTCAATCCCATTAATTTCCCCTTGGCATTTTACTGAACCTTTTTTTCGTGGCACAAGCAAATCAGAGTATGGCATTACACTGTATTTTATATATATATACACTAAGTGGAACATATGATATATGTAGAGACATCATGTTACGAGAAGCACTTGCACTCGACTTGACTGCAATGGACAAAAGCTGTTCTTTTGCTATCCAACAAAAATGGCAATTAGATATTGGTCAGTACTAGTAGTCTTGGAAGTTGACCTTCTCATTATTATGATTTAGCTGATACTATAAATTGACCTTTTTGCAACTTCTCATTTTGAAAGATTGAAACTAAAAAAAAAAAAAATGTTTGGTAGTTTTTCCTATAATTTGATGGGTGCTACAAATTCAAACTTCTCATTTTTTGTTTTTGTTGTACTCAGTTACAGTTTATCTTGCATTTGGGCACATAGTTTTGTGACTCACGATTATTTGGAGTAAAGTCTGCAAGTTGCTTTATAAGGACATGTGCTAAGACTGATTGTGGCTTTATGCTTCTTGATTGTCACTATGAATCTCTTAATTTTCTATTGTCAATAGTATGCAGTTTATAACCTTTAAAATGGCTTCATTTGGAATTGTAAATGAAGGGAAACAAATTGGAGTCTATCCAGTCTTATTTTAAATTAAAAATATAAAAAGGTATTCAAATTGATGTGTCAGTATGATCAACGGCGTCTTTTATAATCTGGAATTAAATGCTTAATTTTCAACTTCTTGCTTGGGTTCTGTAACTGTAATACAAGTGCTTGATGTCTACTATGCGTTTCCCAGTCAAACTTCTGGGACTAGTTAATTTGAGCTTTTTAGAATTGTTCCCTTAGAAGGCAAATTTTAGATCCTACATATTGTTATAAATTAATTTGTCTCTCTCACGTGTGTGCATGCCGTGGTGTGGCAATGAAGGGAGACATCCTGGAAGATCCAGCAAAGGAGCCAAACAAGGATATGTACATGATGACTATTGGGCCAGAAGATGCACCCAACCAACCTGAGTAAGTTTGCTTGTTTGATGTGTATTTCAATTCCTTTAATTTAGTCAAATCTTGATTTATGCATTTGCTTCTTTGTTTTTCCCCCTCCATGTAGATATGTACAAATTGGGATGGTTTTAGGGCTTCCTGTTTCAGTCAATGGAAAGGAATTCTCCCCTGCATATCTGCTTTCTGAGCTGAATGAAATTGGTGGGCATATTATTTTTTTTCTTTTCAAAAATTTGACTATGATGAGTTTTATTGATTGCATGGTGGATCCAAGAACATGCATAAATGTCACCCCGTGTATTGTACAATTGGGGGTAAGTTCTTTCTCCTTTTGAAAATTTGTATAAAATTTCTCTCTCTCTCTCTCTCCCTCACACACACACACACACAAATTTTGTTATATGCCATTCAGATTTTTAATTGGCCAAGTATTGTGTAGAACATCTTCAAGGAATCCTTGAGAGAATCGAATTTGTGGAGGGTGTTCTAAATAGAAACCTCAAGTGATGAAACTGGATGAGAGAGAGAGAGAGAGAGATGAATTCAACATTCCTAAACCATTATATTGTGCTTTTCAATATTTTGATGTCATGCTGATAAGTGTATATACTCTGCTCATTTGAGATATAAAATTAGTAGCACAAATTGATTACTTTTTTATTTATTTTATCTAAATAGATAGTTAGCGATTGTTTACATGTTCTATCCCGTACTTCAAGCTTTATATTCATATTGTACGTGTTGCTTTTGCTTCCCAGAAAACCATTTCAAAAGTAAGTCCTGGGTCATCAAATGCATCTGGTTCTAGCTCATCAAAAGAGCAGCATAATCAACAATATCCAGGTTTTTCCTTTTATATACACATTTTACAAAATTTTGTTACTTTATTATATTTACTGAACTCAAAATTTATCTATTGCCAATCCTCATATATATCCCCCTCCTGGGCGGACCTGGTTTCTTGTGTCAGCAATGCCTTTAGCCTTTAAACTGATGCTTGTTTTTTCGCAGTGCCAGAGGTCAAACGCAGAAAGCGACATCGGAGAAAGCATTTTGAGAACCAAGAACCATGTCTGATGAGCGGTGTCTATTTTAAGAATATGAAATGGCAGGCAGCCATAAAAGTTGACAAGAAACAAATTCACTTGGGCACTGTTGGATCTCAAGAAGCTGCTGCTCGTTTGTATGACAGGTATTAAAATGGTTTAGCTGTACATACACATAGAAGTTCTTAATTGTGAACTTTGTTCATAATACTATGTTTTGTTGCCATTTCCATTTGAATTATTATTTGTGAACTTTGATCATAATACTATGTTCTGCAAGATCAGGTACTATATATATATATTTTCCTTTTCAAAATAGGATTTTAGTATTCTACACATTCTTTGTTACTTTGAATGCATTCCTAATAGACCGCAAATAAATAGTACCAATCTGTTATAGTTCAGTGGGTTTTAAATTTTCCAATCAGTCATAGGTTTTATGTTTACTCCATGATTGTTACACTATGAAGGCATGGAGATCCAGATTCAATGAAAACATATAAAATTGTACAATTTAGCTCTTTGAAATGTTTGGATGACTCTAATTCTTGTACCCTTTATTCATATGTATATATATATATGTAAACATATAAATTTTTCATGTACACTTTACGACGAATAAATTTTTGACTAGAATTTCCTTGTTTTTATTATCAATTGACTTGAAGCTTCTTTGTTGACTCATTTATTTGGTATATTTTAATTTTTATTAGCAATGTCAAACATTATTTAGTTTTGTTATTTTAATTAAAAACCTTCTTAATCCTTTTCCTTTTTCCTTATATTTTTTTCCCTTCAGCTCATTTGATACATGCTTATGGTTCTTTGAGTAACACAATTTTCTACAGAATTCCAATCTTATAACATATTTCTAGATATTCTGTTACAAGTTCTCATTATATACTAGTTCCAAGCTTGATTGTGGGGAATAACTTGCCCAAATATATTTAGTTTATGCTTTTCTTTCCTCTTTCAATCATCCAAAAATATTCTTTGCATACCTTCTGTTAAAAATAAAAATAAAAATTGTTTTCTCACAAATATTTTATGGATTCTTTCTAATTCTTGCAGTAGAGAATTGTATTTGCATGCTGCTGGGATTTTTGCTGATGTGAATTCTCTGTTTTAAGATATGGATAGGGGAGAACTACAGTACGCTCTGGACATTGGATGTTTGCTGGACACACCATTAGATGCGTCCCAATTAGGAAGTCTTCTATGCCTTAAATTAGCTTGATCAAGTGATTTTTGAGTATGGAAAGAAATCATCAATTGTGGAAGAATCATCAAAACTTGTGTGAATAATGGTTTTAACATATAAAAGAACAACTAGAAGTAGATTTTAATTATTTTTTATTTGTTTGGCCTCAATTCTGGATCAGAACCCATGCATATTTTTCATAAAGTGCTTAATAAGGAAAGGGTTATGAAGTTCTAGATTTCATGTAAACTGCTTCCTGAAACTTTAACCGAGCATCCTTAAGTTAATAACTATGCAGTTTATGACCACAGAAAGAGTCCAGAAGTTGCTCTTATTGTCAGAACTTGATGCGAGTTTTGTTTGGATAGATGAGGGAAGCGATTGGTGTTACCCTTTTTGTGTTGTGCTCAAACATTCGGCTTCATACATCCTTCAGTGATCATCATTCCGATGGTGGTGACGATTTCAAAATTGAAGAGAGAAGTTGGGATCAGTTTTTAACAGAACGTGCATCTGAACTTGTCACAAATATTTGGAATGTTAGCCAGTCTGACAAAATGGAGATCTCAACAGATAAAGTCTTGACAATGGGATAGTAAATGGCAATTCTTAAGATGATGTGAAGTGGATGGAAACGGAACATTTTTAAAGAATTCTGTTTAATCAAGGCTTCCTTATCTTCAACTGAATTCTGATGATCTTCTCCTGTTCCTTAATGTGTGCAGCTGTACCATTTCATTATCTCATCTTTGAAACCTTGCAGTCCAAGCCTAAAATGTTTAAAAATCGATTTTTGGACTGTGTGATACAATATATATATATTTTTTTAAAACAGGAAAAAATCTGTCACGGCATTTTTAAAGCGTCGCTAAATATTGGATGACGTCATTTTATTTTTATTTATCACATTTAGAGGCATTTTTTAAAACGCCGCTTATACTAATCTAACGATGTTTTTAAAGCGTCATAACGTTATAGCGGAGGCTGCATCTTCGGCGTTTGGTACTAAACGTGACAAATAGAATTAGCAGCGTTTTTTATACCTATATTGGCATTTTTTAAACACAGCTAAATGTAAAATTTCCAGCAGTGTTCATTGTAGTATACTTTCTGTTAAAAATCACTTGATAATCAAAGGTTGGGCATGCAATCCACTGATCCTTAAAATTCTACAAACATGATAAGGGGAACATAACACCTTATGCACATTCCAAAATTTACAGAACTCTCTCTCTCTTTCTCTCACACACACACACACATTAATTAATCAAACCGTCTAGCTACGGAAGAATGTAGTTTAGTGAAGGTATTCTAAGGAGAGTTGTGTTTATCATATGCAGGATTTTGGGGTCATCATAGGCAAAATTGTGATATCCCTGTTCCGCAATATGTTAATTGATCCTTAATATGAGTATGGTTATGTGTTTAACATGATTTTGTGTGCTATTATGTGAAAATATGTGATTTTTAATTTCTATCTGTTCACCGCAGGAATAGCTGTTTGATTATCTGCTTTGAGAATTAAATTGAAGGCCCTATCGGCCACCGAAACCAAAATTGATTACGCCATTGTGATTAGCGTAATTTTTAGAGCCTACGGTGAAATTTAATTGGAAATTGATTCAGATCAGAATTAATTGATTTAATTGATGAATTAGTGCCCACTTGTTTATTATTATTAAATTGGACTTAGTGGGATTTGTTGTAAGAAGGCAATACACACTCAATTCCTCTCCTTGCTTCATCTTTTGGCTGATTTAACTCTCTAGAGGGAGAGAGACCCGAAATTAGAGAGAGGGAGGGGAGAAAATCTATGTTTGGTCTTGAAGCTTGGAAGTCTTGAAGTTAAACTCAAGAATTAACCATAGATTGGGAAGATTGGGCTTCTAGGTAAGCAATTGATTTTGAATTCACGAGTTTGATGTGTAATTTTGTGTATTCAAAGTTGATTAATGATCAAGAGTAAGAATTGAAATGAAATTGAGTTGATTAGGTAGTGGTGTAGTGGGTTAGGTTTAGTGGAGTAGGTGAGGTGGTAGTGGTGTAGTGGGTTAGGTTTAGTGGAGTAGGTGAGGTGGTAGTGGTGTAGTGGGTTAGGTTTAGTGGAGTAGGTGAGGTGGTAGTGGTGTAGTGGGTTAGGTTTAGTGGAGTAGGTGAGGTGGTAGTGGTGTAGTGGGTTAGGTTTAGTGGAGTAGGTGAGGTGGTAGTGGTGTAGTGGGTTAGGTTTAGTGGAGTAGGTGAGGTGGTAGTGGTGTAGTGGGTTAGGTTTAGTGGAGTAGGTGAGGTGGTAGTGGTGTAGTGGGTTAGGTTTAGTGGAGTAGGTGAGGTGGTAGTGGTGTAGTGGGTTAGGTTTAGTGGAGTAGGTGAGGTGGTAGTGGTGTAGTGGGTTAGGTTTAGTGGAGTAGGTGAGGTGGTAGTGGTGTAGTGGGTTAGGTTTAGTGGAGTAGGTGAGGTGGTAGTGGTGTAGTGGGTTAGGTTTAGTGGAGTAGGTGAGGTGGTAGTGGTGTAGTGGGTTAGGTTTAGTGGAGTAGGTGAGGTGGTAGTGGTGTAGTGGGTTAGGTTTAGTGGAGTAGGTGAGGTGGTAGTGGTGTAGTGGGTTAGGTTTAGTGGAGTAGGTGAGGTGGTAGTGGTGTAGTGGGTTAGGTTTAGTGGAGTAGGTGAGGTGGTAGTGGTGTAGTGGGTTAGGTTTAGTGGAGTAGGTGAGGTGGTAGTGGTGTAGTGGGTTAGGTTTAGTGGAGTAGGTGAGGTGGTAGTGGTGTAGTGGGTTAGGTTTAGTGGAGTAGGTGAGGTGGTAGTGGTGTAGTGGGTTAGGTTTAGTGGAGTAGGTGAGGTGGTAGTGGTGTAGTGGGTTAGGTTTAGTGGAGTAGGTGAGGTGGTAGTGGTGTAGTGGGTTAGGTTTAGTGGAGTAGGTGAGGTGGTAGTGGTGTAGTGGGTTAGGTTTAGTGGAGTAGGTGAGGTGGTAGTGGTGTAGTGGGTTAGGTTTAGTGGAGTAGGTGAGGTGGTAGTGGTGTAGTGGGTTAGGTTTAGTGGAGTAGGTGAGGTGGTAGTGGTGTAGTGGGTTAGGTTTAGTGGAGTAGGTGAGGTGGTAGTGGTGTAGTGGGTTAGGTTTAGTGGAGTAGGTGAGGTGGTAGTGGTGTAGTGGGTTAGGTTTAGTGGAGTAGGTGAGGTGGTAGTGGTGTAGTGGGTTAGGTTTAGTGGAGTAGGTGAGGTGGTAGTGGTGTAGTGGGTTAGGTTTAGTGGAGTAGGTGAGGTGGTAGTGGTGTAGTGGGTTAGGTTTAGTGGAGTAGGTGAGGTGGTAGTGGTGTAGTGGGTTAGGTTTAGTGGAGTAGGTGAGGTGGTAGTGGTGTAGTGGGTTAGGTTTAGTGGAGTAGGTGAGGTGGTAGTGGTGTAGTGGGTTAGGTTTAGTGGAGTAGGTGAGGTGGTAGTGGTGTAGTGGGTTAGGTTTAGTGGAGTAGGTGAGGTGGTAGTGGTGTAGTGGGTTAGGTTTAGTGGAGTAGGTGAGGTGGTAGTGGTGTAGTGGGTTAGGTTTAGTGGAGTAGGTGAGGTGGTAGTGGTGTAGTGGGTTAGGTTTAGTGGAGTAGGTGAGGTGGTAGTGGTGTAGTGGGTTAGGTTTAGTGGAGTAGGTGAGGTGGTAGTGGTGTAGTGGGTTAGGTTTAGTGGAGTAGGTGAGGTGGTAGTGGTGTAGTGGGTTAGGTTTAGTGGAGTAGGTGAGGTGGTAGTGGTGTAGTGGGTTAGGTTTAGTGGAGTAGGTGAGGTGGTAGTGGTGTAGTGGGTTAGGTTTAGTGGAGTAGGTGAGGTGGTAGTGGTGTAGTGGGTTAGGTTTAGTGGAGTAGGTGAGGTGGTAGTGGTGTAGTGGGTTAGGTTTAGTGGAGTAGGTGAGGTGGTAGTGGTGTAGTGGGTTAGGTTTAGTGGAGTAGGTGAGGTGGTAGTGGTGTAGTGGGTTAGGTTTAGTGGAGTAGGTGAGGTGGTAGTGGTGTAGTGGGTTAGGTTTAGTGGAGTAGGTGAGGTGGTAGTGGTGTAGTGGGTTAGGTTTAGTGGAGTAGGTGAGGTGGTAGTGGTGTAGTGGGTTAGGTTTAGTGGAGTAGGTGAGGTGGTAGTGGTGTAGTGGGTTAGGTTTAGTGGAGTAGGTGAGGTGGTAGTGGTGTAGTGGGTTAGGTTTAGTGGAGTAGGTGAGGTGGTAGTGGTGTAGTGGGTTAGGTTTAGTGGAGTAGGTGAGGTGGTAGTGGTGTAGTGGGTTAGGTTTAGTGGAGTAGGTGAGGTGGTAGTGGTGTAGTGGGTTAGGTTTAGTGGAGTAGGTGAGGTGGTAGTGGTGTAGTGGGTTAGGTTTAGTGGAGTAGGTGAGGTGGTAGTGGTGTAGTGGGTTAGGTTTAGTGGAGTAGGTGAGGTGGTAGTGGTGTAGTGGGTTAGGTTTAGTGGAGTAGGTGAGGTGGTAGTGGTGTAGTGGGTTAGGTTTAGTGGAGTAGGTGAGGTGGTAGTGGTGTAGTGGGTTAGGTTTAGTGGAGTAGGTGAGGTGGTAGTGGTGTAGTGGGTTAGGTTTAGTGGAGTAGGTGAGGTGGTAGTGGTGTAGTGGGTTAGGTTTAGTGGAGTAGGTGAGGTGGTAGTGGTGTAGTGGGTTAGGTTTAGTGGAGTAGGTGAGGTGGTAGTGGTGTAGTGGGTTAGGTTTAGTGGAGTAGGTGAGGTGGTAGTGGTGTAGTGGGTTAGGTTTAGTGGAGTAGGTGAGGTGGTAGTGGTGTAGTGGGTTAGGTTTAGTGGAGTAGGTGAGGTGGTAGTGGTGTAGTGGGTTAGGTTTAGTGGAGTAGGTGAGGTGGTAGTGGTGTAGTGGGTTAGGTTTAGTGGAGTAGGTGAGGTGGTAGTGGTGTAGTGGGTTAGGTTTAGTGGAGTAGGTGAGGTGGTAGTGGTGTAGTGGGTTAGGTTTAGTGGAGTAGGTGAGGTGGTAGTGGTGTAGTGGGTTAGGTTTAGTGGAGTAGGTGAGGTGGTAGTGGTGTAGTGGGTTAGGTTTAGTGGAGTAGGTGAGGTGGTAGTGGTGTAGTGGGTTAGGTTTAGTGGAGTAGGTGAGGTGGTAGTGGTGTAGTGGGTTAGGTTTAGTGGAGTAGGTGAGGTGGTAGTGGTGTAGTGGGTTAGGTTTAGTGGAGTAGGTGAGGTGGTAGTGGTGTAGTGGGTTAGGTTTAGTGGAGTAGGTGAGGTGGTAGTGGTGTAGTGGGTTAGGTTTAGTGGAGTAGGTGAGGTGGTAGTGGTGTAGTGGGTTAGGTTTAGTGGAGTAGGTGAGGTGGTAGTGGTGTAGTGGGTTAGGTTTAGTGGAGTAGGTGAGGTGGTAGTGGTGTAGTGGGTTAGGTTTAGTGGAGTAGGTGAGGTGGTAGTGGTGTAGTGGGTTAGGTTTAGTGGAGTAGGTGAGGTGGTAGTGGTGTAGTGGGTTAGGTTTAGTGGAGTAGGTGAGGTGGTAGTGGTGTAGTGGGTTAGGTTTAGTGGAGTAGGTGAGGTGGTAGTGGTGTAGTGGGTTAGGTTTAGTGGAGTAGGTGAGGTGGTAGTGGTGTAGTGGGTTAGGTTTAGTGGAGTAGGTGAGGTGGTAGTGGTGTAGTGGGTTAGGTTTAGTGGAGTAGGTGAGGTGGTAGTGGTGTAGTGGGTTAGGTTTAGTGGAGTAGGTGAGGTGGTAGTGGTGTAGTGGGTTAGGTTTAGTGGAGTAGGTGAGGTGGTAGTGGTGTAGTGGGTTAGGTTTAGTGGAGTAGGTGAGGTGGTAGTGGTGTAGTGGGTTAGGTTTAGTGGAGTAGGTG